GTGTGAAGATCTGTTGATATCAAAGGTCATATGTATGTCTTTTTGGTTTAAATGTCATGTAATGTTCTGTAGGGATTTAAGGTCATGTAGTATCAAAAGACACTTATGATCTGTAGCAATCAAAAGTCATGTAATGGTCTGTAGGGGTCTAAAGCCATGTGATGGTCTGAAGGGGTCAAGGGTCATGTGATGGTCTGTTTGGGGTCAAGGGTCATGTGATGATCTGAAGTTGTCAAGGGTCATGTGATGGTCTGTTTGGGGTCATGTGTCATGTTATGGTCTATTTGGGGTCATGGGTCATGTGATGGTCTATTTGGGGTCATGGGTCATGTGATGGTCTGTTTGGGGTCATGTGTCATGTTATGGTCTATTTGGGGTCATGGGTCATGTGATGGTCTATTTGGGGTCATGGGTCATGTGATGGTCTGTTTGGGGTCATGGGTCATGTGATGGTCTATTTGGGCAAGGTTCATTTATTCATTTCGTGCCTGATGGTGATTTGTCACAAGTAGGGTTAGCGGCTGGCAGCTCTGTAACCATTCTAATTTAATTACAGATTTGAGATGTAATAAATCTCTACTTCATTGTCATATTGGTCCAGATGTGTGAGAAAATTCTGTGGAGAAGAATCATTTTTCACCATTGTAGTGATGAGTTTGTGTTAGACATGAGCCTGTCTGTGATTAATGCGAAATGTTGCTGAGCATCCCCTATAAGAAAGCGTTGGTAGCCATTGTTTACGGTGATGTAATAAAATAAAAACTGCCCCATGAGGATTCTTGGAGTTTAGTTTTCTGTTTCAGTTGGTAATGGATTATTGTGCATAAATGCTTTTCTTCATGCATATTATAACTATCTCTATTAACAGTTGTAATGTGAGTCCCCGGGGTCCACTAGGATACTCAGCAGCAGTTATGGATGGAGCTATGTAATGTTATGTCTGTGTACAGTGGCACCAGAGTCCTGCCCGAACCATAACTCACATCTCCCTCCAGTCACGTTAGTTGAACTCCACTAACTTGGTTTTTCCTCCAATGCTTCCCCCAGGACATACATCAGTATTTACTGGGTCCTTGTTTGTTTTTAGCTCCAATTATTTCTCAGTGGTTGATTTCTTGATTGGTGTAAAGCTGATGTTTTGTAAACATCAAGTTAAGGAATATTTGATATCTTGAATGCTATATGTTTTAAGTTGAATATCATTTGTTATTTAGTAATTTTTATACTGTAAAGTAATATGACTTGAAAATGTTATATCAGAAATCAATCTTTACAAAACATATTTGTCAGAAAACTGTTAGAGCAAATCTGTCATGAGGAGTATAAATAGAAGTTATATTTCATATGTGACTTATTTGTGTATCAGGATGTGAATTCAGTTTATCAGTGTATAGTCAATGCATACAGTTTGTAAAATTTGGTAAATAATATGTTAGTTATGTACAGTTTATCTGTAAACTCTAGTCATAAAACATGTTCTCTAAGACAAACATTTTTAATATACTGGTATGTACTATGTAATGATGTAATATTGGTAGGTCCTTTAGGATAGGTGAAAGGTCCTGTAGGATAGGTGGCAGGTCCTGTAGGATAGGTTAAAGGTCCTTTTGGATAGGAGATAGTTCCTGTAGGATAGGTGAAAGGCCCTGTAGTATAGTTAACAGGTCCTGTAGGATAATTGACAGGTCTTGTAGTATGGGTAACAGGTCCTGTAGGATAGGTGACAGGTTCTGTAGGATAGGTTACAGGTCCTGTAGGATAGGTGACAGGTCCTATAGCATAGATGAAAGGCTCTGGAAGATAGGTGATAGGTCCTGTACGATAGGTTGTTTGTTAGCTATCAATAGTAATATCATTGTGAAGCTAGAGAAAAACTAGCTAATTGATGAGCTGTTTCTCCTAATAACTGTTTATAGGAGGGAACATGAAGAACAGATGCTGGTCTTGTTAGCGAGTTAGTGTGGTACAGAGTCTGTGAGAGGAGGCTGACAGAGTGTTGCTACAGGCGTGAAGAGATGGGATTAACATTAGATAGTTACTGCTGGAGCACCCCACTTACACAAAATCTACCATAATCATCCTAATTTTGGGAGATAAGTTTCTACAGCTGCCTATCAGAGATTCGAATAGAGTAATATTTGTAGCCCTTCAAGTAAAGTAATTGGGCTTAGTTTATGAGATTGTATTGGATTCAGTGGTGGAGATTCATCACAGGCAGTGTAAGTGATGGGCCCTACAGACATACTACTCTCAAAAAGATAGGTACGATCAGGCAGAGACCAGTGTCAGTTTGAGTTTTGCACCAGACTGTTGATAAACATGCTCCCGGACATGCTATATGCTGGGAACCAACTGCCATAGGTTTTGTTTTCAAGTATACAGATTTCTGAAGAATTTATAAGACAGGTTCTTACACACTACACACTCTCAGATACATAAAAGTGATATGTACAGTTGAGGTCAATAACTAGGGGGATAGGATCTGTGATTAAAATACAGAAACTGTCACACTAGTCCAGATTTGATAGATTTTTGAAGAATCTCTGAAGCTTTATTACATATAAACTGAAATGAAAAAAATCTATTTTAATCTTGATTATCAATTTTAAAAGTTATGTGATAACATGATCAGATGTTTACAATTTGTTCTGTCATAGGTCAAAATATGACAGTTTCATAAGCAATATCTTATCTTAAATATCTATTATAAAACAATATAGGATCCTGATAATGGTGCTTATACATAATACAATCATTGAATTATCATTGTTCCTTGTTAGGGCTTTCATTGGCAGGGAGGAAATTTTCTTGGTGGCAAAGGGAGAGTTATGGGGGAGAAGACTGTGGAGGGTAGAACTGGAAAGCAGGCTGTGGTAGGATAGGGTTAGGGGTTGATTGGGTAACAAGTAAACATGTTGAAGGTTTAGGAAGATTTCAGGTAATGAGTGATGAAGCAGGCAAGAAATGAGTTAAGGAAGGATATTTATAGTGTACCTCTTCTGTCTAATAGGCCGAGGGTTAAAGGGAAAGCCGTACCTGGGAGCTTTGGTCTGTGGTGAACGCAGGCAGGTGCATAGTAGAGTTATGGTGGAGGACTTAGCAGGAAAAATGTTTGAAGAGAAGGGGGATAGACTTAGAGTGAGAGAAAAGTGTTTTCAAGGGCTGTACTCGGTAGTGATGAAGTGAAGGGGGTGTGGTAACCTGTAGTATTTGGGGGGCAGCCAAATTGTGGCTTTAGCAGTGTGTACACAGCTTCCTGATTCTCCAATTACTTATCTGACTGGGCTCTGGGCTCTGGGCTTACCTTGTATCAGAGGACATGTGTAGAGGTAATTGGCAGGACTTGTCGGTGCTGTAACTGGGATTTATGAGGAGGGGGTGAAATGTTGATATGTACAGGGGCGGTGGTGATGGATGTCAGAGAGATATTATGACACATTACTTGATGAAGCACAAAGATTTTCCACAAATATATAATCTGGAGTATCCCTGGATGTCGGCTACATGACTACAGCATTCCAGCTCTTAGAACTCAAAATGTTGAGTGATAATGACATTATGTGAAGTAAGTGCCAGTTATAGACCTGTTGTCACTCACTTGTATCGACTTGGTCAAGGTCACCAGAGTCATTCAACTCACCTTACTAGCATGTCAAGGTCATTGCTTAGCTACTAAGTTGATATCATTGCTTTATTGCACTGTCAAGTTGATCACTTCACTGTCATGTTACAACTCAAGGTCAAGGTCACCATTTACTGGATTATCATTGTCATGACTATATTCTTTTGTCAAGGTCATCACTTTACTGGCCTGTCAAGGTCATCACTTTACTGGCCTGTCAAGGTCATCACTTTACTGGCCTGTCAAGGCCATCACTTTACTGGCCTGTCAAGGTTATCACTTTGCTGGTGTATGATATGCTGGTAACTTAGAGTCAGTCAAGCTCATCACTTTACTGGCCTGTCAAGGTCATCACTTTACTGGCCTGTCAAGGTCATCACTTTACTGGCCTGTCAAGGTCACCACTTTACTGGCCTGTCAAGGTTATCACTTTGCTGGTGTATGATATGCTGGTAACTTAGAGTCAGTCAAGCTCATCACTTTACTGGCCTGTCAAGGTCATCACTTTACTGGCCTGTCAAGGCCATCACTTTACTGGCCTGTCAAGGTTATCACTTTGCTGGTGTATGATATGCTGGTAACTTAGAGTCAGTCAAGCTCATCACTTTACTGGCCTGTCAAGGTCATCACTTTACTGGCCTGTCAAGGTCATCACTTTACTGGCCTGTCAAGGTCATCACTTTACTGGCCTGTCAAGGTTATCACTTTGCTGGTGTATGATATGCTGGTAACTTAGAGTCAGTCAAGCTCATCACTTTACTGGCCTGTCAAGGTCATCACTTTACTGGCCTGTAAAGGCAGACAGTTTGGTAACTTAGAGTCAGTCAAGGTCATCACTTTACTGGCCTGTAAAGGCAGACAGTTTGGTAACTTAGAGTCAGTCAAGGTCATCACTGGTGTATGATATGCTGGTAAAGCCAGCAGGTTTCTGTACTCTTATCTCAATTAAAGTGTACTTTTGATGAATCATCGTCTCTATTTATAGGTGTTCTATCTCTGTCAGTTACTGCATTCCAGTTGTAAGATCCCATTAAACATTCATTAGTATGATTAGCTTTCTGGACTTGCTGAAGTTTCATGGTTAATAATTTGGCTTTTAAATGTTTAGATAAAAAATTACTGTCTCACACTACCTGTAGTTACTGTTAGTACACATTCACATTGATATATGAGGTATTTGATCATTAGAATCTGGATAGATTTGATAAATGACCATGCAGTTGTACCAGTGAGGTTCCTACCTAATGCTTCTCTTTTTGCTAAATTTGTTACTGAATACTGTTTACAAGAGAAATATTTACCCTCCCAGAAGACTATTTGTCCAGTGTTTCCTCCCATTATCGTATATGTAATGACAAATTCTTCTCTTTTTTAACAGGAGAAATAGCCTGCCAGCATCTGCAATTAAAGCATTTAGGTAAATATATTGGAATTCAAAACATTAAGTATAAACTGACCATATGGTTTCTGTGCATCTCACTCTATGTATAGGTATAATTATATGTGTGTGGGTATTACTGTATGGTTGGGGATAACTGTATGTGTGGGTATAACTGTATGTGTGTGGGTGTAACTGTATGTGTGGGTATAACTGTATTTGTGTGTGTATAACTGTATGTGTGTGGGTATAACTGTGTGTGGGTATAACTGTATGTGTGTGGGTATAACTGTGTGTGGGTATAACTGTATGTGTGTGGGTATAACTGTATGTGTGGGTATAACTGTGTGTGGGTATACCTGTATGTGTGTGGGTATAACTATATGTTTGTGCTTGAAACTGTATGTGTGTGGGTATAACTGTATGTGTGTGGGTATAACTCAATGTGTGTGGGTATAACTGTATGTGTGGGTATAACTGTATGTGTGTGGGTATAACTCAATGTGTGTGGGTATAACTGTATGTGTGGGTATAACTATGCATGTGGGTTTAACTGTATGTGTGTGGGTATAACTGTATATGTGGGTATAATTGTATGCATGTGGGTATAACTGTATGTGTGTGTGTATAACTGTGTGTTGGTATAACTGTATGTGTGTGGATATAACTGTATGTGTGTTGATATACCTGTATGTGTGTGGGTATAACTATATGTTTGTGCTTGAAACAACTATGTGTGTGGGTATAATTGTATGTGTGTGGGTATAACTGTATGTGTGTGTGTATAACTGTATGTGTGTGGGTATAACTGTATGTGTGGGTATAATTGTATGTGTGGGTATAATTGTATGTGTGTGTGTATAACTGTATGTGTCGGTATAACTGTATGTGTGTGGATATAACTGTATGTGTGTGGATATAAATGTATATGTGTGGGTATAACTCATTGTGTGTGGGTATAACTGTGTGTGGGTATAACTGTATGTGGAGGTATAACTGTATGTGTGTGGGTATAACTGTATGTGTGTGGGTATAACTGTATGTGTGGGTATAACTGTATGTAGAGGTATAACTGTATGTGTGGGTATAACTGTATGTAGAGGTATAACTGTATGTGTGTGGATATAAATGTATGTGTGTTGGTATAACTGTATGTGTGTGGGTGTAACGGTATGTGTGGGTATAACTATGTGTGTGTGTATAACTGTGTGTGGGTATTACTGTATGTGTGTGGATATAACTGTATGTGTATGTACACATGTAATTGTATGTGTGGGTATAATTGTATGTGTGTGTGTATAACTGTATGTGTCGGTATAACTGTATGTGTGTGGATATAACTGTATGTGTGTGGATATAAATGTATATGTGTGGGTATAACTCATTGTGTGTGGGTATAACTGTGTGTGGGTATAACTGTATGTGGAGGTATAACTGTATGTGTGTGGGTATAACTGTATGTGTGTGGGTATAACTGTATGTGTGGGTATAACTGTATGTAGAGGTATAACTGTATGTGTGGGTATAACTGTATGTGTGGGTATAACTGTATGTAGAGGTATAACTGTATGTGTGTGGATATAAATGTATGTGTGTTGGTATAACTGTATGTGTGTGGGTGTAACGGTATGTGTGGGTATAACTATGTGTGTGTGTATAACTGTGTGTGGGTATTACTGTATGTGTGTGGATATAACTGTATGTGTGTGTGGGTATAACTGTATGTGTGTGTATAACTATGTGTGTATGTATAACTGTATGTGTGTGTGTATAACTGTGTGTTGGTATAACTGTATGTGTGTGGGTGTAACTGTATGTGTGTGGATATAACTGTATGTGTTACTATATGTATGAGTGTTACGGTATGTGTGGTTGTTACTATATTCTGGGTGTTACTATATGTATGGGTGTTACTATATATATATGGGTGTTATTACATGTATGAGTGTTACTATATGTATAGGTGTTACTATATGTATGGGTGTCATTACATGTATGAGTGTTACTATATGTATGAGTGTTACTATATGTGTGGGTGTTACTTCATGTGTGGGTTTTATTATATGTATGGGTGTTACTATATGTGTGGGTGTTACTATATGGATGGTTGTTACTATATGTGTGGGTGTTACTATATGTAAGGGTGTTATTACATGTATGAGTGTTACTATATGTATGAGTGTTACTATATGTAAGGGTGTTTATATATGTATGGGTGTTAATATATATGTGGGTGTTACTTTATGTAAGGGTGTTTATATATGTATGGGTGTTACTATATGTGTGAGTGTTGCTATATATATGGGTGTTACTATATGTGTGTGTTTTACTATATTGTGGGTGTTACTACATGTATGAGTGTTACTATATGAAGTGGTGTTACTATATGTATGGATGTTACTATATGTGTGGGTGTTGCTATATATATGGGTATTACTATATATATGGATGTTACTATATGTGTGGGTGTTGCTATATATATGGGTATTACTATATATATGGATGTTACTATATGTGTGGGTGTTGCTATATGTATGAGTGTTACTATATGTAAGGGTGTTACTATATATGTAGGAATTAATGTAGGTATAATTTTCTGTAGTGTGAATGTTACTTTATTGTGGGTGTTACTATATTGTGGGTGTAACTATATGTGTGGGTGTTACTATATGGATGGTTGTTACTATATGTGTGGGAGTTACTATATGTAAGGGTGTTATTACATGTATGAGACATGTATGAGTGTTACTATATGTATGAGTGTTACTATATGTATGAGTGTTACTATATGTGTGGGTGTTACTATATTTCTGAGTGTTGTGTTACTATATTGTGGGTGTAACTATTTGTGGGGGTGTAACTATGTGTGTGGAGATATATATATTCAACATTATATGATTGCAGTATTGTTTTATTGACTTTGAAATTGATATTTGTTGTAAGCTTATTATCTTCAGTATGTTATCAGATTGTGGGATGTTCAAGTTGCCTACGTCTGTTGATAGGTCAGTTTTGTGATTAATTTGAAAATAAATGTCTGATAGATAGCCGATTCTGCTACAGTCACCTTTTTTCAGCATGTACAAACACTTTGTCTATATGTTGATTTATAATTTTTAAATTTCATGTTTCTTTTGTTTATTGATGTTACAATATTGTTTATCCAGCTGTCAATACAGCATTCAATTAAAAAAAAGAAGGAAAAAGTTTGAACTTATATAAACAATCAATAAACACCATATGGTGGTGGGTGCCATGATCCCTCAGGGCTCCCGTGTTTGTGAAGGAGTCTGTTAAAAACTCCTAATTATTTGTGTATACAGTATAATTGTCTGTGTATCAATTTTGTATGTATGACTGATATGTCACTCAGGTTTCTGGTGGGTAAAGAGGAACTTCCAGCTTCTGTACTGGACGAAGAGCCTACAGTCCAAAAACGCAGTTCCTCCAAGTCAGGTCAAGAAGCAAAGGGGACTAAATTCAGTACTCTCCGATCTGTCCTGTCCTGGCTTCAAGGCCAGTCCAAACATCGTTTATGTAAACATCAACATAGCTGTGTTTACTATGTAATGCAGGTATGCATAACGTCACTAATTGATTTACTTTCTAAAATGAACACACATAGATTACAGTCAAACTCAAACCATGTAAAACACAATAAGCATATGTGTTAATGATGTCAAGCCAATCAAATGGGTTAAATATTAATTACCAATTAAAACCTGTCTGTGATCTGTTTACAATCAAATCTGAATAGCAGGGAACCTCATGGTATAATCGAACAGAATCAAATGACCATGGTTATCTGTATAGCAAGATTGAGAAGTTATGATCTCCGCATCAGAACTCTGTCAGCTGTTTTAGAGATTTTCATGTGCATTAAGTTTTGTTTCGCTTTTTCACTGTGTGCTCTGTCTTGTAGCCTGTGGATCAGTGTAGCACAGAACAGTTTTTAAATTGATAATTTTTGTTCCATAAAAGTTCCTAAAAGTGTCTTTTACTTTTCTGTGCAAGACTGATTTTTTTGTCATTGTTTCAAAACTTTTCTTTAAAAAAGATGTTTTAGGACTGTTCTTGAATAAGTTCTAAAACCAATCAAGAACTTTGCCTCATGTAACATACTTGAACATTTCCAGAACTGTTCAAGAAATATTCAAGGACAGTATTTTGTCTAGTCGCATGTATTTTGAACTCTCAGGAAGAATGTTGATGGTACAGAGAAATTGCCATATCATCTAAACCATTGCTATAGATAATATTCCCCTGTAATTGAATGCTGGCTTCCATAGGGAATTTCCTGTCATTGCCTGAATGAATTGAAATCCGACTTGAGACATAGAATATTTACATAGCGTCATTAAGGTTTTGCCAGCCTTCTTGAGCCATTAGCATCATAAAGCCTTGTAATTGTGGTGTTTGGGTAGGATGTACTTTAGTATAGTAGTGGGTATGTAGCTTGTGAGTTAGTGGGTTGGACCTCAGTGTAAGGTGTTGTCACATTACCACACGTTTTATAGTACTTCATTCTTGTAATCAATGACTACACAGAATCTTAAAACTCTGGCTTTATGGATTAGAATGGAAACAGTCAATATCTGTAGCATACCTGTCAGTGCTGACTTTGTGTGTGAAGTTGGAGACAGTTACTAATGCACTGAATGCTTGATTAGATCCAGCTGCTGGATTGTGTACATTAATGTTGAGATGATACAGCAGAAAAGTGGAATGATCAGCTCTGTGTAGACATTTACTGCTTAAGTTTCAATAGTCAGAAGATTTGTCAGCCCTCCTGTCCTAGCCGGACTAAAGACATGTGACCAATGTGTGCTGACAACTTTCTATTATATATTGATGGACCATCCATTTGACCATGCAGTAATAAACCTAATGGATACACATCCGGAAAATTGGCCAATGATAATGTTTGAATCAATATTTATGTGTTATTGTCATGATGGGGCATCATTATGCCATTCTGTGTCTATCTTTACTTACTGTCACTGCAATTAGAGGTTGTAATATGTCCGGATCAGCTGAGTCTATATAACACAACTGTACTTAGTGGCGTTGCACATGCAGCTCCATTTCGGAGAACTGTTAGGTTTGTGTTGGAAGGGAGACAACTCCTATAGCAACACTTGCCTTTATTAAAATGAAGTTTGTTTTATTGTTGCTTTGATTTCCTTGTTACAAATTACAAAAAGCTTTACAGATGTGATTTTTGTTTTGTTCTCATAAGCTGCAACCTAGTAAAGAAAAAAAAAAAAGGAAAAAATATGTAGGAATTTAGAAAGATACATGAAAGCAATATGTGAAGAATATTTTAATTTGTTGACTCAGACTAAAACATTTGATTGCTGACAGAAAAGTGAACATGCTTTGTGATTACTGTAGAGTTATATATTTTCATAGAATTCAAATTTTGTGGTTTTTTCCAAAAATATGCATTTTCATTTGTATTTGATTTCATGGATATATCACAAATTCACTAGTTCTATAATTCATGCCAACTTTGATTTGTTTATCATTTCATTGACATATAAATTGGTGGATTTTTAAGTATCAGAGTTGGTGGATTTTAAGTATCCATGATTCAATAAACATATATCTAACATGGAAATAAATTACAGTATGTCACACATTTCTTAAAGCATTCTTCCCTGAGATTTGAATTGATGTGTAAGCATCAATTCCATCTCATCCTTGTTACCTACATCTATTCCATCTCATCCTTGTTACCTACATCTATTCCATCTCATCCTTGTTACCTACATCTATTCCATCTCATCCTTGTTACCTACATCTATTCCATCTCATCCTTGTTACCTACATCCATCCCATCTCACCTTTTTATCTACATCTATTCCATCTCATCCTTGTTACCTACATCTATTCCATTTCATCCTTGTTACCTACATCTATTCCATTTCATCCTTGTTACCTACATCTATTCCATCTGATCCTTGTTACCTACGTCTATTCCATCTGATCCTTGTTACATACATCTATTCCATCTCATCCTTGTTACCTACATCTATTCCATCTCATCCTTGTTACCTACATCTATTCCATTTCATCCTTGTTACCTACATCTATTCCATCTCATCCTTGTTACCTACATCTATTCCATTTCATCCTTGTTACCTACATCTATTCCATCTAATCCTTGATACCTACATCTATTCCATCTCATCCTTGTTACCTACATCTGTTCCATCTCATCCTCCTTACTTACATCTATTCTATCTCATCCTCGTTACCTACATCTATTCCATTTCATCCTCGTTACCTACATCTATTCCATCTCATCCTTGTTACCTACATCTATTCCATCTCATCCTTGTTACCTACATCTATTCCATCTCATCCTTGTTACCTACATCTATTCCATCTCATCCTTGTTACCTACATCTATTCCATGTCATCCTTGTTACCTACATCTATTCCATCGCATCCTTGTTACCTACATCTATTCCATCTCATCCTTGTTACCTACATTTATTCCAACACATCCTTGTTAGTTAGATTGGTTGGGTAGGATCATATTTCAAGGCTTTAAAGTCAGAGTAAGTGATATAAACTTTGTGTATGTTTTGTCAATTTGACAAATTCACACATCACAACATACACATTCCATGTCTTTTTTTTTTTATTAACTATCATATCCATTTCTCACATTTGATATTTTTTAGGGGTTCACTAAGATGTTTGGATTAGGCTTTGTGATCCAGGGAGGAATCAAGCTTGTCAGTGCCCTACCAAGACTTGTCAAACAGCCAAATGCTTTACTACAAGCAGTTAAACACCGTGACAATTTAAAGTTAGCAGCATTCTTTGGATGTTTTAATGCAATCTTCAAGGTATGTTGTTACAGTTTTCTCTTTATAAAAACTAGATATGTATTTGGAGATCATCTAGTATGAGAGGGAATATGTAGATCTAGTGTAAGGGGAAGTGTCTAGATCTTGTGTAAGGGGGAGTGTCTAGATCTTGTGTAAGGGGGAGTGTCTAGATCTTGTGTAAGGGGGAGTGTCTAGATCTTGTGTAAGGGGGAGTGTCTAGATCTTGTGTAAGGGGAAGTGTCTAGATCTTGTGTAAGGGGAAGTGTCTAGATCTAGTGTAAGGGGAAGTGTCTAGATCTTGTGTAAGGGGGAGTGTCTAGATCTTGTGTAAGGGGGAGTGTCTAGATCTTGTGTAAGGGGGAGTGTCTAGATCTTGTGTAAGGGGGAGTGTCTAGATCTTGTGTAAGGGGAAGTGTCTAGATTTTGTGTAAGGGGGAGTGTCTAGATCTTGTGTAAGGGGGAGTGTCTAGATCTTGTGTAAGGGGGAGTGTCTAGATCTTGTGTAAGGGGAAGTGTCTAGATCTTGTGTAAGGGGAAGTGTCTAGATCTTGTATAAGGGGGAGTGTCTAGATCTTTTGTAAGGGGGAGTGTCTAGATCTTGTGTAAGGGGGAGTGTCTAGATCTTGTATAAGGGGGAGTGTCTAGATCTTGTATAAGGGGAAGTGTCTAGATCTTGTGTAAGGGGGAGTGTCTAGATCTTGTATAAGGGAGAGTGTCTAGATCTTGTGTAAGGGGGAATGTCTAGATCTTGTGTAAGGGGGAGTGTCTAGATCTTGTGTAAGGGGGAATGTCTAGATCTAATGTAAAGGGAAATATCTAGATCTAGTGTAAGGAGAATACCTAGGTCTTGTGTAACGGGAAATATCTAGATCTTGTATATCGCAAAATATTTAGACCTTGTGCAAGGGGAAGCATCTAGATCTTGTGTTGGGGGAAATAACTAGATTAGTATGTAGGAAGATATCCCAAAGTTTGTGAAATATCTAGTTTTATTGAAATTTTCTGAAGTTATTTGTTTGTCATGATGATAAGGGGAAATAACTGGACATAACAATAAAGAAAAAAAAGGCAACCATTGCAGAACTGGAGATAAAGATTTTAAGAGAATTTCCTTACTAATGGAAATGAGTCTTCATAATAAAGCCAAGCCTTGCTACATATTTATCATTGTTTTCAGTGGGGTTTCTTCAAAAGATTGTTGATTTTAACTCGATCTTGCTTACAGGCAGTAAACTGCTGTTTGCGACATGCCCGTAATAGTGACAGTGATTTCCATGGTCTACTGGGGGGATTCTTGGCTGGTTGGTCTATGCTGTGGTACAAGAGTGTCACTGTTGCCTTATATACTGCTTTTAAACTTGCAGAGGTAAATATACTTTTTTTTTGTTAGTTTTCAATTGATATTTGAACACAACTTTCAAAAAAATAAAAAAAACCTTGCTAAAAGGTTAGAGATTGGCATTCTGGGATAAATTAGAGAGAAAATGGTTTATTGTGATATGTTTTTAAGGTATATTTAGTTCAAATAATCTGCGACATTAAAATTCTACACAATTGAGATTGTGTACTAATGATGGATTTCTTCTATTTCAGGTTCTGTACTTTAAAGGAATAGAGAAGAATTTGTTGCCTTATATAGCATGTGCTGATATTATAATATATTCCATTTCTACTGCCTTTGTCTTTCATACTGTAAGTATGGTTCATTATCAGGTGTTAAAGTCTTAGATAAATTCCTTTATAGCTCACTGGTTACAGGCAACCATGACATCCCTCCAATGTTTGCATTGTTATCATCATCCCACCCAAAACTTTCAAGGTTTCCAAGTCCAGAGGTCTTCACCCTACACCTTTCCTCTTTAGCATATGCAGTCATTCCACTTATTTCTTTAGTGAATATCTCAGGAGTGTAAGATCAGGATCCATTGTTCCTAAGATTGAAATGTGAAAGATTTAGCTTTAAAAATGTTGAAGTTTACCATTCTGTCCCAGGTTTTAGAAATATTACATTTCTACCTGTCTGTCCCAGGTTTTAGAAATATTACATTTTACCTGTCTGTCCCAGGTTTTAGAAATATTACATTTCTACCTGTCTGTCCCAGGTTAAGCAAAATTAGATTTGCTCCTGTCTGTCACAGGTTTAAAAGAATTACTTTTATACTGTCCTAGGTTTTGGTAGAATTAGATTTGTACTTGTTAGTCACAGGCTTAGAAGAATCAGATTTGTAATTGTTAGTCACAGGCTTAGAAGAATCAGATTTGTACTTGTTAGTCACAGACTTAGAAGAATCAGATTTGTACCTGTCTGTCACAGGCTTAGAAGAATCAGATTTGTACTTGTTAGTCACAGGCTTAGAAGAATCAGATTTATACCTGTCTGTCACAGGCTTAGAAGAATCAGATTTGTACCTGTCTGCCACAGGCTTAGAAGAATCAGATTTGTACTTGTTAGTCACAGGCTTAGAAGAATCAGATGTTTACCTGACTGTCACAGGCTTAGAAGAATCAGATTTGTACTTGTTAGTCACAGGCTTAGAAGAATCAGATTTGTACTTGTTAGTCACAGGCTTAGAAGAATCAGATTTGTACCTGTCTGTCACAGGCTTAGAAGAATCAGATTTGTACTTGTTAGTCACAGGCTTAGAAGAATCAGATTTGTACTTGTTAGTCACAGGCTTAGAAGAATCAGATTTGTACTTGTTAGTCACAGGCTTAGAAGAATCAGATTTGTACTTGTTAGTCACAGGCTTAGAAGAATCAGATTTGTACTTGTTAGTCACAGGCTTAGAAGAATCAGATTTGTACTTGTTAGTCACAGGCTTAGAAGAATCAGATTTGTACTTGTTAGTCACAGACTTAGGAGAATCAGATTTGTACCTGTCTTTTCCTGGTTTAAGAGATATCAGGGCCCCACAGGAAAGTGTGGGTGCCGTATAGTAATCAGTGTCCTCCTGTCTGTCCCTCTGTTTCTTCATCTGTCTGTCTGTCTGTCAGCACTTTTGATTCTCTGCTATAACAGTTTCGCCTTATTGAAAGTTTGGGTGTGAGAACTTGAGTTTGCTTTGGCCACTTTTTCTGGAACTTCATAAAGTACTTCCTTACTGAACCTGTCTGTCATGGGTTTAGAAGTATTAGATTTGGACCTGTCCCAATCAGTTTTAAAAGTACTATATTTAGATAAATGCATGCAGTAGCTTAAAGTATGATTTGGCATGTTGATATAACTCAAATGAATGTGAAAATGTTTTGCATTATCCCTAGCCTTGTTTTTGAGAATAAGGGGATAGATAGGTCTTGAAATGGCTTACAGGTGGCCATCTTGCATTTCGGCCATTACTTTTTACTAATTCTGAATGGAAAGTCATACTGATAAAGGCCTAATCAAGATACAGAAATAGGTGCCAAGATCCCTCTCATGTCCCTAATTATATTGTATGTTATAAGCTTTAACTATCTCACACAATATTGGATTTATTTGTCATTACAGGCAGTTGTTGAGCCCCACAATCTGCGACCAGCATACTGGAACTTCTTACTCAGAGTTACAGGCAACAAGTAAGTTACATTACCTACATCTCATCAGAATTTTGATACCTTAAATCACCGACAGGCCCAAAGATGTTCTTTAAGCCCTTAGCTGCATATCTTCTTTAAAACTAAAAGCACAAATTCAAAATTGTAAAAAAGAAAAATCACATGTCATTAAGGCCTGTCAACCTGTTTGTATTAATCAGATCCCCTCTGCTGTTCTGTAATTAATCAGCTGTTGTATATCTATAAATTAAATATACAGAAGTCATCACTCAATGTATCATTTAGTCCAGCCAATGTTAGTTATATATATAAATTTATAACCAAGTTATGTTTTTAACTACCTTTAAAGATTAGATACTGATTTTTTATTTCGAACATCTTGCAGATTTGCATTGATGAACATACATTTGTGTATTTCAAATGTTTTGCAGGTTTGCATTGATGAATAGACAGCTGATAGAGCCGTTTGTACCTGGTTCCGCTAAACTTTTCCCTGATTTCTGGCCAAACTATGATTCTCGCTTCACAGATCTTGTTCGTCCAGCAGAATTAATTACTAGCTAACCTCAGGAGATTTCTAGGGAAAAATGAAAACCCTAATGACCTCACATGGAAATGCACAAATGCTGATATCAGTAAAGGGTACTGGAGCTGTACATGTTGGCTTCAACTGAGGACACACAAGGACATGTTGACCTCTAATGATGATACCAGGACATCTTGACCTCTACTGATGATACAAGGACATGATGACCTCTACTGATGATACAAGGACATGTTGACCTCTACTGATGATACATTGTCATGTTGACCTCTACTGACGATACATTGTCATGTTGACCTCTATTGATGATACATTGTCATGTTGACCTCTACTGATGATACAGTCATGTTGACCTCTACTGATGATACAGAGTTGTGTTGACCTCTATTGATGATACAAGGACATGTTGACCTCTACTGATGATACAAGGACATGTTGACCTCTACTTATGATACGTAGTCATGTTGACCTCTACTGATGATACGTAGTCATGTTGACCTCTACTGATGATACAGTCATGTTGACCTCTATTGATGATGCATAGGCATTTTGACCTCTACTGATGATACATAGTCATTTTGACCTCTACTGATGATACATAGTCATGTTGACCTCTACTGATGATACATAGTCATGTTGACCTCTACTGATAACACCAGGGACATTTTCACCTATACTGACAACACCACTTGTGACTTATTCTGTTGATATATGAGGACAATTGGGTCTACTTGAGTTAGCTGCCTATGACATATGCTGATAATCTGTGATGGTGTATATGGTGATGATTCCTTAATTCAGGTTTTGCTAGTCAGGGTATTAAACCATCTTTTTGGTTGAATGTGATTTGATCAAGATGAGGTATTTATACTATTAACTTACTGTATAATTGTGATTGAGTGTAAGTGATGTTTCTTTTTATCCCTCATTTGACTTTACTTTGGTATAAAAAGTCTAAAGGACTTACACTGATACAGTGTTATTGATGTCTGCAAAATGTGCTATGAAAGTTTTTCGTACTGTCAGCTTACTGAAGGAGAGTGTGTGTTAGAGAGGGTGAGCTAGGCTGTCAGGGTTGTATGTTAGAGTATAAGTGTTAGTGTTAGAAAACATGTGTAAGGGTGTGTGTTAGTGTTGTGTATTAGTGTACATGTGTTAGAGTGTGTGTTAGTGTTGTGTATTAGTGTACATGTGTAAGGGTGTGTGTTAGTGTTGTGTATTAGTGTACATGTGTAAGAGTGTGTGTTAGTGTTGTGTATTAGTGTACATGTGTAAGGGTGTGTGTTAGGGTTATGTATTAGTGTACATGTGTAAGGGTGTGTGTTAGCGTTATGTATTAGTGTACATGTGTAAGAGTGTGTGTTAGGGTTATGTATTAGTGTACATGTGTTAGGGCGTTTGTTAGGGTTATGTATTAGTGTACATGTGTAAGGGTGTGTGTTAGGGTTGTGTATTAGTGTACATGTGTAAGGGTGTTTGTTAGTGTTATGTATTAGTGTACATGTGTAAGGGTGTGTGTTAGTGTTGTGTATTAGTGTATGTGTGTAACGGTGTGTGTTAGGGTTGTGTATTAGTGTACATGTGTAAGGGTGTATGTTAGTGTTGTGTATTAGTGTACATGTGTAAGGGTGTGTGCTAGTGTTGTGTATTAGTGTACGTGTGTAACGGTGTGTGTTAGTGTTGTGTATTAGTGTACATGTGTTAGGGCGTTTGTTAGTGTTGTGTATTAGTGTACATGTGTTAGGGTGTGTGTTAGTGTTGTGTATCAGTGTACATGTGTTATATAGTCCTCCATTAGTACTACTGGAGGGACTATGGGTTTGATTATATACATGTATACTGGGTAGTTATGTTCTGTCTATCAGTCTGTGTCCTGGTCACTATGAATGCAGAGTTATGGCCCTTTACATAGCCTTTAATCTGTTTCCTTCAAGCCAAATTATGTCTACAGATTCCTTAACAAAGATTGCAACCAACATCCACTCAAAACCATGATTACATCAAACATCTAATCAAAACCAAGATTGAACCAAACATCCAATCAAAACCAAGATTGAACCAAACATCCAATCAAAACCAAGATTGCACCTAACTTCCTATCACAAAAAAACTTGCGTTGAAATTTTTTTAATGCCAAATTATATTCATTTTTTTCACAAAGTATGAACTGATAGAAATACACTTGTAGGTTATCTTGATTTAGTTGTATTAGCTAGACAAAGTTCTTCAGTTCATAGAAAAGTCTTTTTAGTGAGCTATATAAAGAATGAGTGTAGCACATGTGTGTTAGTATACAAGATAACAGATATAACTGTTCTGTGATTTTTTGTAATACTTCAGTCTTATTATTCTGATATATATTTTTTCCAAATGTCACTTTTCGTATATTTCTATATTTCAATATTACATGTGAGATACAATGAAGCTTATGGAACCTGTTATATATCCCTGTGCTTATTGAAAATTGTGAGAACAAGAGCTTGAATTTTGTTTGGTAGAATAATCTGATTATGATAATCACATTTACTGAAAAAATAATCTTTTTTTTTTTTAAATCAAATGATTGTTTGCAATAATCTTACAAGACTAGTTGCTGACGGAGATTACACAGTATGAAGGGATGGTATTAGTTGGTAAGTCTAGTTTACAGAAGTCCCTGTTATAATCCTTATTTATGTGCTTTAATATCTTGAATGTCAACTACAGTTGACTTTAAACAAGTCCACATTTTTGTTTCCTTCTCACAGGAGTGACCTAGCTTTGTACTAAACTATTGCCCAGTATTTAGGAAATCCCATCTCCTTTCTTTGAGTTGGTCCAGAATTTTTTGGTATTTAAATCCTGTAATTTTTGACAATCATACCTAGTCTGTTTTGTAATCAAAGTCTTTTGTGTAATGGATTCATTGATGGAAGGGAAGTAAGTCTTTTCATTTATTTATCCTTTTGTTCTTGTGATAGATGGGCAAGTTTGCCGGTATTTTATACATGTATAAGATGTTTTTAGTGTTTTATGTCTACACCTGTGTACCCAAGTCCACCATAGGTGCATGTTTTACCTTTTCTCAAGGGATGGGCTTATTACAGGACATTGATTAACATCTCTTTGTAATTCTTCTGATCAACATCATATTATATGTGGGGGTTTAAAATCTGATTTTATTACTCGGCAGATTTGGTGTGTGCTAAAAATATCACAAAACTGCACATAGATGCTAACCTTTATAATAACCAATTACTATATGAACCTGTATCTGATGTTTGCCCTGGCTAAATCTACCTACTTCTAATGATATCCAAACAAAGTTGTTTTAATCATCAATACAACAAATTATTGATATCAAGGTTTGTTGAAATTGACTGAAGCGATGCCATTGTTCATCAAACTTATGAAGAAAGCAACATGGAAATTCTGTAGTTTGTTAAGATTGAAATTATGTTTTTGTATCAGATATCTGATTAGCTACTGACCTTAAGCAGGGTTCTTTGACCATTGGCCTGTGTATCTGAGGCCAGTCAGATAGTGATAACCTCTCAAGTTATAGTTTGTTAAGGTTGATACTCATTTGTGTAGAGAATTTGTAACTATTGACAGTATGTATATGTGTTGTAGAATACAGTGGGTGATCAATTTGTGGCAATTTTATTATCATGCAATCGAACAATATTTTTGTATAAAAGAGGTTTGCTTTACAGAACTGTTGTAAAGGGATCAAGAATTCTATAGAACATTATTTTCTAAATAAATGATTTGACAAAATCTCTGTTATTTGTGATGTCTTCTAGTTACAGTTATCTCCCTTGAATGTTACATTATTTTTATATATATGTAAAGTTTAGGTCCAGGTTGCACTTTCAAATAGTAAACCAAAGAAGTTTATTTTTTTCCTTTCTGCCTGACAATGGCAAGACATAGTTATCATAGTTTGTTGTTTGGACAACACTTTGTAACAAAACAAAAGGAAACATTCATTTCATTTCTATTTGGAGCTTTCACCAAAGTTACTATACTGATCTTTGGAATACAGAATTTTGTATTCATCTTAAATTCCTTAACTTTCTTGTTATATTGCCTACATGTTCCCCACTCAATATAGAGTTATGGCCCTTTGTTCACACCTTATACCAAAGTTTGTGTACATCAAACTGAACCCTGTGTGTCATATATTAAGTTTGGTCTTGTTTATCAAGTAAAGCAACAGACTTAATTAAAATTTACTCTTTTATTTACCATAAAATACTCAACCAGCGACAAGCTAGTTGACATTACACGTATCACAGATGATCAATAACAGCAATGCATAGATTTCTAACACTGACAACAATACCACAGCAATTGATCCTGCTGCCATCAGTAACAAAATACTCCTACACAGGGAAGCTGTTATGTAAGGCAATACTGTCACACAGCGAGATTCATCAGGAGAAAAAAAAATAGAAATTTAAATAAAATAAGCATAAAAATGTCCTTGAATTATACAATTGTATCAAGAAATGGTTATCCTAGTACAGTCAGAAATACACATCTATTCATCATAAACCATGGGAAAATAAAGAAATAAATCAATATATATATAATTTTCAAAAAACCCAGTTATTCCAACATACAATAGATCTACCACACCATATTTTATATATCTGTATTATAAAAACTGAATCATACATTACTGAGACGTAAGTGTATTATGCACCAATTGATGGTTAACTTGATAAAAACAATATCTTGGTGTTTAGTCAGCAAACATCTAGGTCAAATTTCAATGAATTCCAATTGATGTACAATGTACATTGATCTAAAGGGTGAACTTACATGTGACTTCAGGAGTCCAAACCAGGAAGTAAGATACAGTAAATTTCCAGTTATTACCCACTTAAGTATCATATCATATTATCAAGTTCTTAATGTTAGAAAGTACCACCCATTCACTTGGTGTTACATATATGATGACCCTTTCATTATCTCGCGAGGACCTTTTCACCGAGACAGAATGTTAAAATAGACATCACATTGGTGTGTTTGTATTGATAATTTCCTAGACTTGTTCCCAACACAGTCAATTCTAGTGTTGTACAACATGTGAGCAAATTGTGTGACTGGGTAAACATAAACAATTTATAAATCAAAATTTAAAAGGAAAACAACAAAATAACCAGTTAGATGAAGCTCAATTCATACCCGTCTCATTCAGAAAATTTTTGAAGAGTGAATACTTTTGACAAATGTACCTACAATAGTCAACACAAAAGACTGAAGAATGAATTAATGTATTTCTGTGCTCTAGGAGGTTTTGAAGTAGTAAAGAGACTGGTGACATAAAAAAGCAAGCTGTGACAGTGGTTGGAACGTTGAGTTAAGTAATGACTAGTACATAGCACCGTGCTAACTAACTCAACACATATACTGATCTACAGAGCCTCTCAGGGAGGCCCTCTAACTACTATCTAATCTAATGCTCTAAATAATTTGAAAGCAATTTGTGATTTCCTAATTATCGATATTTTTGATTATTGGATTAAAATTTCATGTTGCTTTTCAATTATTTTGCATTTATAACCCTTGTATTTGGCTAATTCTTGTCTGAATATTGTAAGCCCAACCCCCCAACACCCCCCACCCAACCCTTCTCCTTTTTTTCCTTTTCCTAATATCAAGAAGTTAAAGATTTCTACATAGTGCATTGTCACCTCAAACCTAGAGAAAATTTCAGAGCATTTAGCTCTCTACAATGGACGGATTTAACATATATAAACAAAACAAGAAACAGCACTAAAGCACAGAGACAGCAGGTCTATGTGTTGTGCTGCTGGCTAGGAGAAAACAGATACAGAATACTATACAATTTAAATCTGATGATAATGTTTTGGTGTAAAAAATGCTTTAAACAGAATCATATAACAGTTTTATAGTGCATTAAGTGCATCACACATCATTAAGAAGACACGGCAGCTGTTGGTACATTGTCAGTGAATTGTACAGCTTTGGTGGCCACTGTTTCTGGAGGTGCCATAGGGCATGGCTCAGCGGGTGGGTGTGGCTGTACTGGGGGATGTGGCTGTACAGGAGGATGTGGCTGTAATGGGAGGCATGGCTCTGTGTGTTCACGCCGTAACTCTGGAGAGGAATTTGGAGGTATTATGCGCACATTCTTTTTAGATTTTCCAAAAGGTGGAGTTTCCTGGAATATTCGTTTCCTCTGTATCTGCATTTCTTTATAGCGTTGGTGATTGTCCTGGGGTGTCTTTTCCCAAACGCTATAGTCCAAGTTACTGGTGTTAAAGGTGCCTCGCATTCTGCGCCTACAAATGCAATTTTCATTTTCAAAAGGAAATTTTACATATTATATACAAATATATATTATCAAACATCTACTGATACAAGAGGAAGAGATTAAGGTAGGATGTGTAAGTGTACCAAAAGTCAACATATTTATCTATCTGTTTCATCATACGACATCACCCTCTACAAAGTACATATATCATGTACAGCCCACAGGACAGTGCAGGTTAAATGGTAAAGGACGTTGAAGACTTGGCTACCAAAATAAAGGACAGTAAACTTGTTTTCAGTGGATAAGATGAGAACAAAAAAATTTTTTTTAAAATAATATTATTAAGAAACATGATGAAAAGTGCATTTGAAAGTTAAAAGTAAAATTTGGTGCATTACAAGGCTGGGGATATCAAGCGAGCAGGAATGTCTGTTTTAAACAAGCCTAATATTGGACTCGTCATTGTTGTTGTGACAGATTTAAACTGAACAAAAGAGAAGAAAGAATGAAAATTCATATTAGTCTGCAGGTGTATTTGCTTGTCAATAGGAAAAAGTATGACTGTTTCTAGAAGTTTATGTGGATAATGAAATCCTTGATTCAAATTGAAAATTTCCCAAATCCTGATGTTTTTGAAGATTTTTAGTTGTTTGAATTCTCTGAAATTATGACAAATCTATAAGAATTTTTATACTTGTTTGTACCTGCTGGCCATGCGAGGGGTACTTTCTATGTTGTGTAAAGGCATTTCTAGCCACTTAAGGCTGTCCGTGCCATGACGACCAAGTGGCACCAAGGGCAGGGGAGGTAACTTCACTTGTTCAAGATCCTTGTCTGTGTAACTACAGCCAGTAATACATCGAAGGACAGTCCTGTCTTCAGCACTGCGCTGTCTCCCTTGTGACAATAACGGATCCCTCAGGGCAGCTGTAGATACCTGGAGTGAGTTAAGGGTAGTGATAAAATATATCATAAAAATCTACATCTGAGCAAGTAAGGCTTGTTTTATCACGAGGAATGCTTATTTCCTGAAATTAGATATTCCCTTAGTGAGTGAGAATAGAACTAGAGAGTAACTCTACACTACAAAGTATTCCAATGAATCCCAACATGTTTACATTATATCTTAATAATTAAATTTAGACAAGAGTGTATGTTATATAGATACTACAATAACATTTTTCTTTAATAGAATAATTATATGTATAATTTCTAAACTCTACGTATAAAAAACTTCAATCTACCATACACTTCTATATTCTACATGTAAATAAAAATAAAATCATGTTTGGACTATGAGAGCTACTGTACTAAATTCTAGTGGCTGAATTCTGTGTGATATACAGAGTGAATGGTGATGAGTACATACATTATAAAAGCCAAGTGATACACAGATTTAGGAAAATAACTGTGAAATAATCCAACAATGTTAATGGGCAAGTCTCCTGAAGCCAATCAATATAAACCATGAACTACTGTTGGTAAAATCTGGTGACTAACACATGGAACACAGATCACCACCACCAAGTTACAGCTCCACCAATCAGTTAGGTAAAACAGCACAGTTCTATCTGACACCAGATATACATGTCTTCAATCTTCCTAATTTAACTGTCAGATTGAATTTGAAGGAGTCAGATAGAACGTATAATACCACAAAATTTTTAAAATCCCTTTTGGTTTGGAAAATTTTGTAAAAATCTACAGAAAAACAAATGTTTGTACCAGAAGAAACACTCTAAACACTGATACAGGGTACGCCATATCATAACATTGTCTATCTTTCTAGCACTATTATAAACAGCTTAATTATCATTTAGGCTCATACAATGGTAAAGTTAATAAGAAAAAGTGTACAATTTATACTTCTATCTGTCAGTTCTATCTGTTATCTGAAACAATGTTCAGACAATTTTGAACCTTTACCTTGTTCTCATTTCTGTACCCTGCAATGTTTTGAATGTTTCGTTGTACAAATTTTGTTTAAATGTCTAATAATATAATAAATTGATATTCATTTTTCCTATCTTAAAATCATGGTGTATATTACAGGGTGTCCTTACAGGAGTCAGTAGTAAACAAGGTACATGTATCTGTTAAAGGATGCTCTTAAAGTCAGGTGTTTGTAAAGACAGGTTTCACCTTGCTAACTCAGTCATAGTCCTGGTATGTATTACAGGGTGTCCTTACAAAGTCAGGTGACTGTAAAGACTGGTTTCACCTTGCTAACTCAGTCATACAGTCCTGGTATATATTACAAGGTGTCCTTACAAAGTCAGGTGTTTGTAAAGACAGGTTTCACCTTGCTAACTTAGTCATAGTCCTGGTATGTATTACAGGGTGTCCTTACAAAGTCAGGTGACTGTAAAGACTGGTTTCACCTTGCTAACTCAGTCATACAGTCCTGGTATATATTACAAGGTGTCCTTACAAAGTCAGGTGTTTGTAAAGACAGGTTTCACCTTGCTAACTCAGTCGTACAATCCTGGTATGTATTACAGGGTGTCCTTACAAAGTCAGGTGTTTGTAAAGACAGGTTTCACCTTGCTAACTCAGTCATACAGTCCTGGTATGTATTACAGGGTGTCCTTACAAAGTCAGGTGCCTGTAAAGACAGGTTTCACCTTGCTAACTCAGTCATACAGTCCTGGTATTACAGGGTGTCCTTACAAAGTCAGGTGCCTGTAATGACAGGTTTCACCTTGCTAACTCAGTCATACAGTCCTGGTATGTATTACAGGATGTCCTTACAAAGTCAGGTGTCTGTAAAATTAGGTATATTAGATTGACATCATTGATGTCAGCTATACCAAATGAGTATTTTTATGGTTTCATTGTATTAGCTAGACTTCTGATAACATCATAATAAGTCAGATGTCAATGTAGGGGGAGGGCACTGTATAAAATGTCTTTCACATTCACCATGTTTATCAAGAAAAAGTAAAACTTTTGTTAGACCTGCAATAAAGATGTTAGTTCAGTACTAGAAATCACTCTTGGTACAATTGTTATGTTTTCCTGTAAATAAATCACAGGATAACACAATTTTGTAAACAATAATTTTGAACTTGTAATTTGAAATTTCAAGGAGGAGTTTGCACTTAATTTGTATTTCAGATATAACAACTGTACTGTCAAGTGATTCTCAATCTAATCTACTCATATATCCATCATTTCATCTACAACTGAAAACATTTTGGGTTTTATTAGCACCTGGACTAAATGTTAAGGAAGTTTCCGTTTATAATGTGTACTGATATATGGAGCCAGAATAGTTAACCTTAATGTTGTAAACAAGTACTGAACAATCATATACTTTCATGGGGCAAACATTTTGTGGAGCTTCGAGAAGATACCATTTTGTAGGCATTTGATTTCAGTAATTATTGGTATCCTGATCACCATATATAAAAGATTGATATTTAACATATTACTAATTTATAGACATTTAAATTCATTTATTAGGAGTAATCACGAAACGAATTAAAACCCCACAAAAAAAACAAACACAAAAAAAAAAAAAAAAAAAAAATGAAATGGTTTGCAGAAAATTCAGCATTTATGGAATATACAATTTTTTGAAACCAGTAAAGAATTCACATTAATTTTGTCGCTCTGAGATCAAATTTGAACTGTTAGACTAGTTGGTTAGCTAGAATGGCTCCTGGGAAAGGATGAGGGAAGGTCTACTCCAACAGAGAGCATACCATAGTTTAAAGGTCGTCTTGGCTAGTGGGCCGAGGGTTATTCAGGGAGTACCCTGTTTAAGGTCCATTTTTCCCCACATGGCTGGCTTGGTTATATAAGCATTAAGTATATACTGCCTGCAGCCTGCCAAGGGCTGGTACAAAAACATTACAAACCTGAGGTACATCCTCGATGTCTTGTAACACAATAGCCTGCATACACAATATGTATACAACTGTAGTATTAATTATCACAAATATTCACATATACAAACATCTTTCTAGTGCTGAAAATCAATTTAGTTTGCTAACTTCTCTTTTCTCACATTCAAAGTCACAGAAATAGACAAAACATGAAAAAGTTACCATAGTGTGTTGAATTGTTCACATGAAAAAATGAACTATTGTTTTCTTCTGACATCTAAATTAAAAGTTATAGGATCTTCAGATCTAATTTATCTCTCTATTGTTTGTTAGTGCTAACCTGAAAAACAAAACTAATCAGATGGTGATCGTTTACCTATAGATAAGTAGCTGGGAGTATTCCTACAACTGTCAACACTGCAACCATTGTAGGGGGTGGCAGGATGACTATGTAATACAGAGTAGGACTGGGTAATTTATGTAGTGGAGGGAGGACAGGACAGTTTATATAGTAGAGCGGAGGACAGGATCATTTATGTAGTGGAGGGAGGACAGGGCATTTTATGTAGTGGAGGGATGACAGGACAATTTATATAGTGGAGGGAGGACAGGATCATTTATGTAGTGGAGGGAGGACAGGGCATTTTATGTAGTGGAGGGATGACAGGACAATTTATATAGTGGAGGGAGGACAGGATCATTTATGTAGTGGAGGGAAGACAGGGCATTTTATGTAGTGGAGGGAGGACAGGGCATTTTATGTAGTGGAGGAATGACAGGACAATTTATATAGTGGAGGGAGGACAGGATCATTTATGTAGTGGAGGGAGGACAGGGCATTTTATGTAGTGGAGGGGGAGGGGGACAGAGCAATGTCTGAAGTGGAGGGATGACAGAACAATTTACGTAGTAGAGCGGAGGACAGGACAATTTATGTAGTAGAACGGAGAACAGGACAATGTATGTATTGGAGGGAAGACAGGACAATTTATGAAGTGGAGGGAGGACATGGCAGCTTATGTAAGTTTTGGAGGAAAACACCTTCTACTGTGGAGACGGAGTGACCTGTCTAATTCTGAGCCATTTAAGGGTGACATCCCAGTCACAAGTTTCATAAACTCACTTCATAATGAGGAAACATAAAACATCAAAGAATTATCTAGAATCAAAATATAAACAGCTTACCATTTTTGCCCTCACTAGACTAATGACAAACTCATGCATTATTCCACACCTACTTCTGTAACATGCATCAATTAGCTGGTCTAAATAACTTCTCACACACCTACACATGTGCACACTTGTGACTTTACGCTTTCTTTGATGATACATGCACATGTGTCACATGCAACTATCAGTTATCATTAACAGCAAGCTCATACAATGTTTAGTGGGGACCAGAGGTATAAAGACATTATCTTAAGTGATTTCTCAAAAATATTGAAAAAAAAAACAAGAACAAAACAAAGAAAATGTGGGAATATTTGGCTGATATTCAGATCACCACTGCTGGATAGACCAGTGAGTAGTTATGGTTTTAGAAGGATTTTTGAGCGATGTGTGAAATTTAACAAATGGTCACACACAAAAATTGGTGAATTTTTAAAAGTTTTTGAAAGACCTCAGGTCATGGGTGAAGGGGTGACAGGTTAGAGGTCAGGTGAAGCACTGGTGGACAGGCAGCACAGTTGACCTGTTACCTTGTAATGCTGATGGTCAAAATGTTTCTTGGCTGCTGCTATCCGCTTGTCCCATTTAGCACATGCATGCTGAGACCAACAGGTTATAAAATAGCATTATAGGATTATTGCTTTAAATGCTTCATATTAATAAGGTCCATTATGGTGTATGAAGGTATATGACAATTTTACTAGTCCATCCCTTTTTCCAATAGCAAATGAAAATGCTGTGAACTGCACCAATATATGTAAACATTATTTATGATGGGCAGTATAATAGTGTATTTTGATACCATTAAAGTGTATTTCAGGTGCCATTCCAGTTTATTATCAATTTGCCATTTATAAAGATGATTATAATAGTCTGTACATTTATACATATTTTGTTTGACTCGTGAAGATTACCTTGATAGGTGCAGGACGGTGACCATTTAGTGCCTGGGCATAATACTCCTCTGGATCCATAGTATCTAGGAACACATGACCCTGTGTCAAAGAAATCCAGATATGTCACATCATTATTGTAATTAAAGATCAATTAGTATAATCAAAATGTGTCTCTTTGTGTAGGATATTTACATATAGAGAGGTACTGTTTTGTCAAGTCTACCTTTTCATTGGTAAACTCTGGGTATCCTTTGTTAGATTTATACTTCAAAGCAATGGATCTTAAATATACAAGATGCTGATAAAGATAACAAAACAGTAACTCAATAAATGAATAAATAAAAATGGCATACAACAAAACCTTGACAAAAACTTGTTTGTTAACATAGCCATCAAAATGACATATTTCCACAAACATTTTGATGAATAGAGTAACTGAAGAATTATTGAAAACTGATACAACAACAATAACACATTAAGAAGAGCCATGCTAATAAGTGACAGATTACCCCTTCACCACACAACCTGCTCTTTGCTGCGGGACCAGATCTGTTTTTAGATTTCAATTCCTAGTGGAAAAGAAGTGCAATACAGTGCATAAGGAGATCCTGTTAAATAGTGATATACATGTACAAGTAATTACATGTACCTGTGGTGAGACTTAGTAGTACCAAATTTATACAGACAGAGCTGTGGACATATCTTCTGAATGGTAAACTACAGGTACTTTTTGTAGACATACATATCTCCCTCCTATAGTACCTTGTGACTGGTAAACTACCAGTACTGTTTGTGGACATACATATCTCCCTCCTGTAGTCCCTTGTGACTGATAAACTACAGGTACTGTTTGTGGACATACATATCCCCCCTACAGTACCTTGTGACTGGTAAACTACAGGTACTGTTTGTGGACATACATATCCCCCCTACAGTACCTTGTGACTGGTAAACTACAGGTACTGTTTGTGGACATACATATCCCCCCTACAGTACCTTGTGACTGGTAAACTACAGGTACTGTTTGTGGACATACATATCCCCCCTACAGTACCTTGTAACTGGTAAACTACAGGTACTGTTTGTGGACATACATATCCCCCCCCTACAGTACCTTGTGACTGGTAAACTACAGGTACTGTTTGTGGACATACATATCCCCCCTACAGTACCTTGTAACTGGTAAACTACAGGTACTGTTTGTGGACATACATATCCCCCCTACAGTACCTTGTGACTGGTAAACTACAGGTACTGTTTGTAGACATACATATCCCCCACTACAGTACCTTGTGACTTGTAAACTACAGGTACTGTTTGTGGACATATATATCCCCCACCCCCTACAGTACCTTGTGACTTGTAAACTACAGGTACTGTTTGTGGACATATATATCCCCCCACCCCCTACAGTACCTTGTGACTGGTAAACTACAGGTACTGTTTGTGGACATACATATCCCCCCTACAGTACCTTGTGACTGGTAAACTACAGGTACTGTTTGTGGACATACATATCCCCCCTACAGTACCTTGTGACTGGTAAAATACAGGTACTGTTTGTGGACATACATATCCCCCCTACAGTACCTTGTGACTGGTAAACTACAGGTACTGTTTGTGGACATACATATCCCCCCTACAGTACCTTGTGACTGGTAAACTACAGGTACTGTTTGTGGACATACATATCCCCCCTACAGTACCTTGTGACTGGTAAACTACAGGTACTGTTTGTGGACATACATATCCCCCCTACAGTACCTTGTGACTGGTAAACTACAGGTACTGTTTGTGGACATACATATCCCCCCCTACAGTACCTTGTGACTGGTAAACTACAGGTACTGTTTGTAGACATACATATCCCCCCTACAGTACCTTGTGACTGGTAAACTACAGGTACTGTTTGTGGACATACATATCCCCCCTACAGTACCTTGTGACTGGTAAACTACAGGTACTGTTTGTAGACATACATATCCCCCCTACAGTACCTTGTGACTGGTAAAATACAGGTACTGTTTGTGGACATACATATCCCCCCTACAGTACCTTGTGACTGGTAAAATACAGGTACTGTTTGTGGACATACATATCCCCCCTACAGTACCTTGTGACTGGTAAAATACAGGTACTGTTTGTGGACATACATATCCCCCCTACAGTACCTTGTGACTGGTAAACTACAGGTACTGTTTGTAGACATACATATCCCCCCTACAGTACCTTGTGACTGGTAAACTACAGGTACTGTTTGTGGACATACATATCCCCCCTACAGTACCTTGTGACTGGTAAACTACAGGTACTGTTTGTGGACATACATATCCCCCCTACAGTACCTTGTGACTGGTAAACTACAGGTACTGTTTGTAGACATACATATCCCCCCTACAGTACCTTGTGACTGGTAAACTACAGGTACTGTTTGTAGACATACATATCCCCCCTACAGTACCTTGTGACTGGTAAACTACAGGTACTGTTTGTGGACATACATATCCCCCCTACAGTACCTTGTGACTGGTAAACTACAGGTACTGTTTGTGGACATACATATCCCCCCTACAGTACCTTGTGACTGGTAAACTACAGGTACTGTTTGTAGACATACATATCCCCCCTACAGTACCTTGTGACTGGTAAACTACAGGTACTGTTTGTGGACATACATATCCCCCCTACAGTACCTTGTGACTGGTAAAATACAGGTACTGTTTGTGGACATACATATCCCCCCTACAGTACCTTGTGACTGGTAAACTACAGGTACTGTTTGTGGACATACATATCCCCCCCTACAGTACCTTGTGACTGGTAAACTACAGGTACTGTTTGTGATCCCCCTCCTACAGTACCATGTGACTGGTAAACTACAGGTACTGTTTGTAGACATACATATCCCCCCTACAGTACCTTGTGACTGGTAAACTACAGGTACTGTTTGTGGACATATATATCCCCCCTACAGTACCTTGTGACTGGTAAACTACAGGTACTGTTTGTGGACATACATATCCCCCTCCTACAGTACCTTGTGACTGGTAAACTACAGGTACTGTTTGTGGACATACATACCCCCCCCTACAGTACCTTGTGACTGGTAAACTACAGGTAATGTTTGTGGACATATATATCCCCCTCCTACAGTACCTTTTGATTGGTAAATTCCAGATATTGTTTGTGGAGTTCCCGTTTCCGCCTATCAAGTTCGGGCCAATCATCACTGTCCATAGCGTCAATAATATTTTTTCTAAGAGGCTCAAACACTCTGTCATTCCATTTCTTGTGTAACATTTCCTTCTTTCTCTGTTCCATGACATCTTTATAAGTGATGTATTCTTCCAGGTTCTGGAATTAAACATAATCAACAGCTCTCTAAGATATGTATCCCCATCAGTCTGTATAATTACATATTCATTGATGTCAAACATCCCTGGAGAATATGGTTTGAAATGGTAAAAGAAATTGAACATCAGAATGTTTACATATATAATGCCGATATGTCATGTATAGATGTATACCTGTAAATATCAAATACTTCGATAATAATTTCTATGCCTATTGACTAAATAAATAACTGTTATTTATTGTTCAAATTGAAAAATAACGAAGATAACAGCAATACTCCAATCATACAGGACCAGTTCTACTTTTAAATGGTGTTAGTGTATTGTCTGTATTGTTTACCCTTACTGGGTGTACTAGGTATGTCAGGTGGTATAACATAACCAAACATCCTATTCCACTGTGAACTATATGAAAATAAGTAGAACATACTTATGATTCTTGGACCTTGTTATAGATATTCCTATTTTCAGGGTAAAGTTTGTAACCGTCTATGAATAGGGTAATAATTAAGCTACAACTTCTGTTGGCTTTGAAATTCATCCAATATTAGGTTATTTGGTAACCTCTTAAAATTAGCATATCATGTTAATTTTCAGTCAACAACACAAACTCTTTAATATCAACTATACCTCAAGTGCAAGTCTGTTGACTAGAAACCTATATCTACTTTGTATATGCACAAGAGGTACTCTGAGATTTATTAAACAAAGCCACTTAGTCATGAAATTACCCTAAAATATAAACAATTTTTATTCACATATCCCTCTTATTAATTGAATTGGGGGAAGGGGTAGGGGGGCTGCCATCTTTCTATTTATATACTAATGAATATCCTTGGTTTCAGAGTTAAAATCAGAATTTGGAGATTTGGAGAGCAATGTAATATTGACCAGCATAGAGGTCTGTATAACTTAAGTTAGATGACCTTTACATATACACTGTGGCCTTGACTTTTACCTTGACAAATGTGTCCTCTGTCTGCAAGAGAGGCTCATACAGTTTACGAGCTTCTCTAGTCTCTATATCTGATTTCTCCTGAAAAAGGTATAAATGTCAGAATTAGTTAAACATTTCACAGTAATCTGATATTTTAGTTACCAGTCACTTTCCCACACCAATTATATAAATAAGTTCTTCCACCATTGTTATTTCATAACCAATCCATTAAATTATTTTACAATTTATTTCTTCTATAACAATACAACATACACTGAAACAATATCAAACCAACAATAATAATGAATTCTTCTGAATTTTTTTATAAAATATATTTCTAGGCTTCAAGTTATTTTTTGAATTGATTTGGATACTGCAAAGAAATATTTCTATCTGAAACAATGATTATGCAAATTTCAAAATATGTTAATGATTAATAAGTTAACCAGCCAACTCCAGCCCTTCATTAATAGCAATTAGGTGTTCTTTTATAACACAAAAATTCTATCAGTTGAAAATCACTAGAAATCTATCTACAATTTGGGAACAAAATAAGCTGGTAAACAAATCTAAAATGCTTTTAAATGCATGCACAGCGTATCTGGAGATTCCTATAGATCAGGGACGAATTCATTGTAGAAACAAAAACATGTTCAATCTCCTAAAGTCCGAATAACCTAGTACACTTTCAGCAGAATTAAAAGTATTTTTCAGCTAATTATTTTAACACCAAACAATGATATCACTAATGATACCTGGTTAAAAAGCTTGGGAAATGCAAACTATTCTAAAACAACACTGGATACAGCATATAACTTTGGTAAACTGAGAGATTTCCTTAATCACTAATCAAATTTAATTTCATGGCCAAACATTTTCTAGTTAATGAAGTGAATAAATTTGCTGCTGACCTATATCTATTTTGTTATGAATGTAATTTTCAATGTTTTCCATGGAAGGGATTCTGACACAAAGTTATCTTTATCCTGGCTATGAATCAAGCTAAGGGTGCCTATGTCATCCCAAAATTTCCTTATTAAAGGAAAGAATCCCTTTTTGAAAATTCAAATTCCATGAAGATCAAGGCAATCAATATCATAATTATTCCCGAATGTGCTTACTTAGGGAATATTTCATTACCCCTGTATATAAATACTTAAAGTCTATAAAACAGTAGTAACATCATTCAACCCTGAATACACAAAATCTGTAAAGATGGTCATAAAACTTCAAATTGTACTGCACTTAGCTACTGAGATATCTAAAGACAACTTCATACTACTTTACATTGATTTTCCCTTTTTTCCTTATTTTTTTCGCTACAGGTCAACTCAATTAAATATTCAAGCAAATCTTAGGGTGGGGGGAGGGGGGTGGGGAACTCAGCATCATATGTTAATAAAAAATAAATTTTGCATGCAGCAAAACTTGACAAGCAAAAACAGAAATTATCAATTTCATTTGTTAATATAAACATCATAATGACATATTTCAACAACATTTTGACAAATAAAGTAACTGAAGAATTATTGAAAACTGATACAACAACAATAACACATTTAGAAGAGCCATGCTAGTAAGTGACAGATTACCCCTTCACCACACAAACTGCTCTTTGCTGAGGAGACAGATCTGTTTTTAGATTTCAATTCCTAGTGGAGAAGAAGTGCAATACAGTGCATAAGGAGATCATGTTAAATAGCGATATATGTACATACATCAAATAATTACATGTAACTGTGGTGAGACTTAGTTACGAACATCATGTATATGGTAATGAATTCATACACATGTTCAACCTCGTACAGTTATTTATTACAAAGAAAGTTTAAAGTACTGTCATTAACATTATAAGAACATAACATATATTTACACAAAGTGATGTACCTTCATTTTTTTCACTTTACACACCATTTCTCTGAAGAAATGAGAAGCTATGCTAATTTGTACTTTATTCAAATAATGACTTTATTCTTTTACAGATGCTTACATAAATACCGGTAGATAATAATAGCTTGTGCCAAGTCATTTAAATGAGACAAGCATCATTAGAAAAAATGCCATTGGATACAACAGGGAAAATACTTAAAATGAGGTACATCACTGTACATTGTGTATGAAGTGATCCAATTGATGAGTGGTGACACGGTGAGTTAGAAGTCCACATGCCCCTACTACTGACCCTGTCATGTGACACGGTGAGTTAGAAGTCCACATGCCCCTACTACTGACCCTGTCATGTGACACGGTGAGTTAGAAGTCCACATGCCCCTACTACTGACCCTGTCATGTGACACGGTGAGTTAGAAGTCCACATGCCCCTACTACTGACCCTGTCATGTGACACGGTGAGTTAGAAGTCCACATGCCCCTACTACTGACCCTGTCATGTGACACGGTGAGTTAGAAGTCCACATGCCCCTACTACTGACCCTGTCATGTGACAGTGAGTTAGAAGTCCACATGCCCCTACTACTAACCCTGTTCTGTGATATGAAAATGTAGACTAGTAGACTCCCTGACTAGAAAAGTGATGTGCAACAGTAAACCTCTATCATACTTGATATAATGTTAAATCACTGATATATAATTGGTGGTTAATTTAAGTCAATATCTGGAAGGATCTTCATCATCTCTGTTCACTGAATGTGGGGACTTTTTGGTAAAACACCTTTAGAGACATCTCGCATATAAATTAATCGACCAGTGACATGATCATGAGCAGATACATTATTTCTGATAAACAAAACATGACATACAGACTTTAACATTAGAGTTATTATCATGGATACATCAGGGAGTTTACAAATAATTATACACAAATTGTTGGTGAAACGACAAAAGATAGAAAAATTGACTTTGTATCAGGTTCACATTAGGAGAGGATATTTTTTGGAAAACACTGCTGTTTGAATTTTTTAGAATAAAAAGACAATCAACATATTTACACAACAGCTAGTAAAAAGAGTTTCAGCTTTGGAATCCCTACAGTCAGTAAGCACAGAGAATTGCTACAAGCTGATATAGTAAACCGAAGAGAGAAAAGATAGAATTTTTATATACATTGTACCTGTTTTTCTAACCATGCATTGGGTATAGAGAACTGTAATATAAAATAGTACTGTGCAGTCGTATTTCCTTATACAACATCTAGGAATGCTTCAAAAACATAGGTCAGTGAAATCCAGTAACATAGAATCAGTGTTAAATGTAGACTGTAGACCAGTCATTCTAAGCATGTCTCAACTTAAATGGTAAACATGTTAAACTCTGCTGATATCCGTTTACCGCAATGATAAATACAAAGATGTCTATATATGAAAACATAGAATAACTTCTTTCATTGAAATTCAAAGATTATTTTTTACAAAGAAAATGGATACTTAATGACAGGTAAGAAGAAAGGAACTACTTGTTAAAATCTGACTATTTGTATGTAAACATTTCAGTACTTCCTTACACAATGTAATTTCATACCAAGAAAAAAAGGTTGGAAATAGAATGATTAAATAACAACTAAACTTTAACTTGAGAGAAACTAAGAACTATCAGTACTATCATAGTCTATGACAACTGTTCTACCTGTATGATTAGGGGATGAACAAATGTTCAATTTCATATATGTAGAATAGTCAATATGTATTCTAATCTAAAGTAGGATATAACACTAACTTTATTCAAACCACAGCTGTACAGATTACAGTTATTCTTGAGCTGATCATTTTAACTTTTTTTAATACATCTTTGATTAAATCAAATTCTAAGTGGCTATTACTTCATGGCCATTATTTCTAAAATCTTTATTTTTCAACATCATAGAATTAATAGTAAATCTTGACTGTAATTACTGTATTTATTGAACTAACTTGGTGGTGGAGTTGCAATGGTTTCAATACATGGTACCTATCATTGGTTAAAGTAATTGCTATAATAAAATTAGGGTCAATATTAAAACAGAAATGTTCAGTTTTTTATATTGAAAATTATTTATAGAAAAGGGAGTTTAAAAAAGTGATCTGGTATCAAAGTTACTGAATCATGATAAAAATATGTATGTACTAAACACACAGTACAATGATGCTTATGACTGGTAACAATATTTCTTATCAATTGGAGTAAGGCTTAATTTACATAGATAGAATTAAATACAGTGTATTGAAATAAGTTCTGTGAATCAAGATACAGATAAATGAGTTTGATAACAAAACATTTATAGCTTAAAATCACAATGTGCATTTTTGTTTTCAGATAAAGAAAATTTAAAGACCTTAACATAATGTTTAAAATGCTTCACAATAAGGGGCAATCATGATTAAAAAATGTTTCAAATCAAAGATAATGATTAAAATCTCTCTTCAAATTTTATAATTTACAAAAAGCTTACCTGTAGTCCTTTGACTGTTTTCTCATTTAGCCAGTCCTGTACCCTCATGGTCTGTCCAATGAGACTTTGTGAATCCATTCCTGCCTCTCCATTTGTGGTCTCTACTGCTTGTCTGGACTTTCGGCCTTTAGTTTCTATCTTGTCCATCAGCTGGATGCAAAACAGTTAATTAAAGATGGCATATAATCATGGTAACATGTGTCAGCTATTATATGTACTAAATCAGTACTGTACACAGTTTAACTTCACTAAATTTTTAAATAAAAGGCTAACAATTTAAGAGATTAATTTCAACCGAACGAAATCGCATTTTGTAATTATTGATACCATTATTACAGTTACATGTGGACTCAATTTCAATTGCACTTGAAAATAACAAACCATACAATAACCTTATAAAAACTAAGATTAATGTTTCGTTTGTTATTTTAAGTGCTATTGAAATTGAGTTCACAAGTACCCGTAATCATTACCCAAGCAATGTCGTTTACAATATGCGAAAAAGTGTACAGTAGTTGAATATTCTGTAATATCATGCTTAACTTATATGTACACCTTACGATTTGCCTATATAATTCAAGAATTCATTTAAACGACTGACATGTTGTTCAAAGAAATTTACTACAAAACTACAAAAAATAATAATATAATAAAATTCATTGGTTGGAATGTTTTTTGTTTTTTTTGTGGCAGACATAAATAACTCGCGTTACAGTGGCAACTTACAACAGACATAGTGTGATCCTGGCTATCCACAGCTAATTCCCGGATCACATCATTATCGTGAATGTGTACACTACCACCATCCTGCTTTAAGCAAAGAAGCGACGACATTTTGCTCGCCTACGCCGCTACAGGCGAGCAAAACTCCCAAATATCTTCTTGAACCTACAAAATGAGTCGCTATCAGATTGGCAATCTTTCTCTTTCCGCCATTGTGAAACAATGTGACGTCACATGGAGATCAAAACAGTGAGCAATAATTTAATTAGCTGGACAAGAATGATTAGTGTTTACCAATAACGCCAACGATATACTTGTAAATATTCGTTATCTGAAAGTAGGCATGCTAAAAATTCAGTTATAATGTCAATTAAAGACTAAATAACAATAAAACCGATAGTTCCGCGAAGTAAGGCTTCCCTAGCAATGTTTCATATCCGGTAGGGGAGACGACTCGAAAAAAGAAAGAAGCACACCAACCATTATTCCAGGGAAGACAAGCTAAGGATAGCTTTTATCATTGCAAACATCACTTAAGGGCGATTTCTAAACCGGTAAGTCGACAGTACGCCAGTCAATCTCACTGCTTCATGAATTGTCCTTATCCAAGGATAACCGGATCTATTTTAATTGTCCAATTAAATTTTGAAAAGCCAGTCAATCTGACAAGTTGCGAAGTTTAAAGTTTGTAAAATTTTCAAAACTCGATGTTGATTGTTATTTATTTTACGAGTATATGATGAAGTTTTTTTCACGTTTTAAACTAATATAATGTCTCCGTGACACGACATGTTTTGCTCCTCTAAAACCACAGAGCAAAATATATGGTATGAAATCATTCCAAACATCAGATGGTGGATTGTGTATACTCATGCCCAGGTGCGAGACGTTACATTTGACATGGCTAGGTGGTGTGCCATTTTACACATACCTATATGTATGGGATGTTATATTACAGGGGCCTTTTTAAGTGCAGGATGTTTTATTACACATGCTGAAGTATATGGGATATATTGCGTAAACATTACAAATGGTCTAGTGCGAAATGTTACATTACACTTGCTCAGACATCAGATGTTATATATAACACTTGCCCAGGGATGGAATATTACACATGTATAGGTGGTGGATGTTACATTGAACAAAGCCTGATATGGGATGTTGCAATACTTATGTCCAGTATATGATGTAATAGTACCCACACCTACATGTAGTTGGTTGATGTTATGTAACACATGTCCAGATATAAATTAGATTTATTACAGATGTCCTGATGTGTGTTGTTTTATACTATTCAAGTTAAATAGTGTGGTTTTTTTGTTTGTTTTTTGTTTGTTTTAAAACAGTCAGATATCTTTGTTAGAAAATGTCTTTAGCCTCTGTTACATTATTGGACAAAATATAAGATATGGAATCATTACACATGGCAGGGTATGAAGCGTTTTATTACAGATGGCTTGTGTAGGATGTTGTCCAGATGATGGACATGTTATGTTACACATGTCCAGGTGTTGAATGTTATATTGCATTTGTCTAGGTGTGGTATGTTATACACTATCTACAACATCTTACCGATAGAATAACAGTCTGTTTTATTAGTAGATAATTCTAATGCAATACTTGTAATAATCCAGATATTGACTGATTCAAGGAGCCACCATTACTATATCACAGCCAACTCTCACACCTTAGGACATACTCAACCTTCATATGAAATTTTTATGATAATCTTCAGAACAATGACATTGGCAGTTAAAACAAATATAACCTTATTTGTGTGCTTAATTTACTTACAAGGTTCCAATGACACTTTAAACCAAAGGAACCATGTTAAATTTTAAGTGTTTGATTAAAGCTTTAAACAATGCTAAGTACTTATATTTGGTTTCTCGTTGTAATATGTGGTATACTTGAATTATCTCCCCTCTACTTTTCAACATTCTCAGACAACACTTATCTCTATTCTAGTGAATATTTTTCGTTTTAACGTAGTTTTCATGTTTGACTGTGTTTCTGGATACTGTACATGTGGTGCTCAAGCCTGTAGTATATATGTATATATTGGAACAAAAAACCCAGATATTTATTAATTTTGAAAAGAGATGGCAAAATTTCATTTAACTCATCTGTAGTTGTTCATGTATTACACACTTCTATTTATACACTAATGAGGACTTAAGTGATAGTATACATGTTTAAAACTTTTTGTTGGTTGTGATAGATAAAAGAACCATGACCAGGTATATATTCTAAATAGGACCTACCTTTATAGGCCTAACCTGACCAATAAATGAAACACTGATGGCCTGTAATAAGGGAGACCACTCTTGCATGATTGGGAATAAATTCCTCAGTCCTATGTTGGTTAAAATAAGGTTATGTATATTTTTTCATTGACAGGCAAGAAAGACTTGTTTTGGGTCTGTTTTTATGAATGGGAGAAATGTGATACACATACTTGCCAAAAAGAAGAATAAAGACTATAGCTGAATATTAAAGGAAGTCAGAAAGATGAGATGAATTGAAACTCAAGATTGCGATAATCATTCCAGCAGTATTAAGCAGTGATTTGTCATTAGTGGCTGGTGGTGTTTTTTGACAAAAATAATTAAAAGGTAACCATGGATTTATCTAGATAATAATTATCTTTATAAATTCAGAAGGTTAAACAAATTAATTATCATATGCAGTATCTGAGGGATGGGAAAACAGGCTTCTTTTGGAGTCAATGAGCAGCTTGCAGAAATCAGAAATCAAGCTTCCTCTTGAATTTGGTCATCAGCATGCAACTCAGAAAACAAGCTTTCTTTTGAGTTTGATATTCAGCATGCAACTCAGAAAACAAGCTTTCTTTTGAGTTTGATTTTCAACATGCAACTCAGAAAACAAGCTTTCTTTTGAGTTTGATATTCAGCATGCAACTCAGAAAACAAGCTTTCTTTTGAGTTTGATATTCAGCATGCAACTCAGAAAACAAGCTTTCTTTTGAGTTTGATATTCAGCATGCAACTCAGAAAACAAGCTTTCTTTTGAGTTTGATATTCAGCATGCAACTCAGAAAACAAGCTTTCTTTTGAGTTTGATATTCAGCATGCAACTCAGAAAACAAGCTTTCTTTTGAGTTTGATATTCAGCATGCAACTCAGAAAACAAGCTTTCTTTTGAGTTTGATATTCAGCATGCAACTCAGAAAACAAGCTTTCTTTTATGTTTGATATTCAGCATGCAACTCAGAAAACAAGCTTTCTTTTGAGTTTGATATTCAGCATGCAACTCAGAAAACAAGCTTTCTTTTGAGTTTGATGTTCAGCATGCAACTCAGAAAACAAGCTACTTTTTAAGTTTGATATTCAGCATGCAACTCAGAAAACAAACTACTTTTTAAGTTTGATATTCAGCATGCAACTCAGAAAACAAGCTACCTTTTAAGTTTGATATTCAGCATGCAACTCAGAAAACAAGCTACCTTTTAAGTTTGATATTCAGCATGCAACTCAGAAAACAAGCTACCTTTTAAGTTTGATATTCAGCATGCAACTCAGAAAACAAGCTACTTTTTAAGTTTGCTATTCAGCATGAGACTCAGAAACCAGATATACCAACTACTCTGTCTCATATACCTTATCTGATATACAATTATACAAATTACTTTATCTCAAATACTGTATATACAAATATACATATAATCCAATACTATATACCATACCTTATATACAAATAAACAAATTACTTTATCTCAAATACTTTACCTGGTAAACAAATATACCAATCACATCACTCATTATACCAATCACCTCACACATTATACCAAACACCTCACACATTATACCAATCACCTCACCCATTATACCAGTCACCTCACACATTATACCAGTCACCTCACACATTATACCAATTACCTCACACATTATACCAATCACCTCACACATTGTACCATTCACCTCACACATTGTACCAATCACCTCACACATTACACCAATCACCTCACACATTATACCAGTCACCTCACACATTATACCAGTCACCTCACACATTATACCAATCACCTCACACATTATACCAGTCACCTCACACATTATACCAATCACCTCACACATTATACCAATCACCTCACACATTATACCAATTACCTCACACATTATACCAATCACCTCACACATTATACCTGTCACCTCACACATTATACCAATTACCTCACACATTATACCAATCACCTCACACATTATACCAATTACCTCACACATTATACCAATCACATCACACATTATACCTCACACATTATACCAATCACCTCACACATTATACCAATTACCTCACATTATACCAATCACCTCACATTATACTAACAACCTCACACATTATACCAGTCACCTCACACATTATACCAATCACCTCACACATTATACCAATCACCTCACACATTATACCAATCACCTCACATTATACTAACAACCTCACACATTATACCTCACACATTATACCAGTCACCTCACACATTACACCAATCACCTCACACATTATACCAACCACCTCACACATTATACCAGTCACCTCACACATTATATCAGATGCCTAGCTCACATAATCACATCTTTTTATAAACCACTATGTTAGGTGTGTAGAATAACTTTGAATGCATGAATCAATATAAATCTGTGAAGATATTTGATACCTTGTGACTCCAGTGAATGTGGAGATTTTCTCATTATAAATACAGAACGAGTGAAGATTTCTCTCACATCAAACAAATCAGTGGCATGAAAAAGGAATTACGATGTGGAGCTGAACGTGTACCAGATTATGGTACAGATATTGAGTTTTAATTAAATATCAGAGCCTGTGAAAAGTTACACAAATTTTTACTGGGAATCACAACATCTGTGGACCAATAAAATGTATTGAAATGATGTTTGATGATTCTACGTGATCTGTCTAAAAGCTTTAGATGAATTACACATGATTTATAAGCCTGAGGTGATCAGAGGTTGACTTACAGAATTACTGGTAATAACAGTCTTACGTTTGGTGTTTACAAACTGTCTACTGGGTTTTTATGTTCGTTTAATGTTTAGATATTCTGTTTTGATTTAGATACATGTACTTTATATATTGACATCTACATTTTAATTGTCATTTGGTTCTCATGAATTTTATGTATTTAAGTAACTTTGTTTAAGTAACTTTTTAGATTATGACATGGTATAATAGATAGACAATTCTATAAAAAAAATACTGTTTTGTCTTGGCATGAAAATTTTGATAAAGTACTTTTTTTTCTTTTTTTTTAGTGGGAATATCAGAATATAGTCTATAGAATGGGATAATTAAAACAAAAAAATGGCATATGTCCAAATGCTTGTTCAATTTTTCATTCCTGTGTTCTGGAGATTGAATAATTATCTCCCATTTGGTGATGATGTCACATAATCGTCTTGGTTATGAAGTCATAAACCACTAATAAGTAACAATGGTTTCTGCACAATTTATGCCGTTAAGTATCATGAAGAATCAGAACTGAAAGCCCTAATGTTTTAAATCTGTATTCTTCAAGTTT